CCTACAGAAATACCACAGATGATAGCCACTGTAGTCCTAAATTACATCTACACAGCAGACTACAGTACTATGCACAGGTGCTAATGCTGAGCGCTGCTTACAGTGTCCAAGCTCCCCTACCTCTACACAGCACAACAGTTAGCAAACACTTTGCACACCCTTACAACCACATATGATACAATTTTTATGATGAGGAAAGGACTAAAAAGCTATTGGGAAATCACTTGCAACATTGCTGCTGTCATTGAATGTGTCAGGATCATGGGCAGAGCAGGTGCTAGCGAGCAGACCAGCAGCAGCGAGCAACAAGCCCCACCTCGTACAGCTCTGTTACGGGAGTTTAAGGGGTTGAACATTTTGTAGTACTACAGCCAGAACAAAGGCGTAAACAAACACCAGTATTGCTTATTTTTGAGAAAGCTCTGCAGTTTGTCCCAAAATAAATAGCTATAAACTGTAGGCCACAATGAAAAGTGCTGTAGGGTCCTCTTACACTAGCCCCTCTCCTGCATAGCTAATAGGGAAGAACTAAGGCTCTCATGTAGACAGCGTTAAGGCAAGGGATCTTTGTCCAGTCCTCGCGACCATTTTCATGAGCTTTCACAACAGACAACTGGCAGGGCAAAACCACCAACAGTAAGCAAAATTATCAGGTTTGTCAATATAACTTTACTACACCAAATCTTATTAGCAATATGAATCACAAGTCAAAGGTTCTCTAAGGGCTGTCTCAACATGGAAGGTAGCAGCCCCTTCCTCCCCCATCAGCCCCTACAGATAGATAAATTCACTTTCAAGTTTAACAACAACAAAAAAATCACCTTATCTTCAACAAGGGCTCAACTCTTAGAATATGGTGAAACAAAATATTCAAAAATTCTTCTGGATCTAGGAAAAAATAAAAGTCTTGTTAGCATGTAAAAACAGTCTTCAATACTCATTTGTCATCAACTTCAATACTGATTTGTCATCAAAATAAAAATTTGTCATTTTAAGTTTTATTTTAAACAGGAAAAATAAAAGATTTATTTTTACAGCTTCAGTAGCACTGTAAGGTTATGACAAGCAATGAATGCTTTCATGATACAAACCTCCATTTACTCTTTTCGCATCAAATATCCCTAATAAAAGATACTAGCTTAACTGGGTAACAAGGCTTTCCGGCAAAGGCTAAAAAGATGTTCTGTATTTCAGATGAATCACTTGGCACCACATATTTTTTCCAGAAGGAAGAGCATTCAAAACAAAACAGTAAAATTGCAGAGAAGTGAGAAGTAGTAACAGTAGCACTTAACAGGAAAATATGCTGTACTACAAAATTCATCTAAACTAGAGACTGAGTTCTCTGGTCAAGAACGCAGCAAAGATTAGCTCTCCAGAGGTCTATTCTCCCCTAACACTGAGGGTTTTCTGGCATATTTCTTTGTGCTGCTAACTGCAATAAATATTGGTTTCTAACATCTAGCATTTACAAAGAACCTAGTGTTCTCCAAGTCAAAAAAGAAACAGCTACATAATATAATAATTAATCATATGCAGCAAAAGATCAAAAGGTTGGGATTTAATTTTTCTAACATGACTTACACTTACTTATTTCTTAAAAAACTGCATAGCCATTGTGATGGTGAAACGTGGTGGTGGAAAGTTCATTCCCCAGAGAACGAACTGACATTCTGAAAGAGGACAGAGTCCTCGACTTTATCAGAGCCTTCATTTCTGAAAAGAAGCCTTAGATCTCCCCTAACTACTAGAAGGGAGTTTCTCTTTTCCAAGATTGTGAAAGGCTGTCACTACAGAAACTGTTAGGCTAGGGTTCCTCCCACACCTAAGGGAGTAGAAAAAAAAGCTTTTTACTACCTAGTGTTCACTCAAGTCTCTGGCAGGGAGATTATTGCTACAAAGAAATATTTGCGCCTTTTTTATATTGGAATAATATAGCAAGGTATTTAAGTTCCTTCTTAGTACAATTCTTACAAATCTCAAAGACAGGAAAACTTCCTAGTTACCTTTTTCTTCTGAAGTGAATCCTGATGCAGCCTCAACTTTTTCAAGTATTTTCCTCAGTTTCATTATTTTTGTAGCACAGACATATCCATATCTAAAATAAATGGTTTAATAAGCTATTTACTAGTTACTAATCAAGTCAGAGGAGCAGGAAAACAAACGAACAAACAAAGTCTTAATCAAATGTTGAAAGAGGCTCGTAGATCCTTCTTTCACTGAGAACAGAAGCTATGTATTGACCCCTTGTATTCAACCTGATCTGTGGTTTTCTAAGTGCACCACAAATTAGAGTGTAGTGCTCAGTCTTCTTGCAAAAATTTCAAGAGTTTTTTAAAAAACATTAAGTTACTAGGAGGAAAACTATTTTCTGATTGGTCAGCTACACAATTACTGATTTTCGCATTGTTTTCACACAAGCACGCGCTGCTTAATGTATCATTTTCAGAATGACACATATAATAGAACTGCAGAAGTCATTAGAAAGTCAACATTGGAGAAAGAGATACAGAACTCTATTGCTGACCTGAGAAGCTGTAGCTTTAAGCATTCAATCTTTTCCTCTAAAACTTTACAGAAAGGGCAGAGGAAGTTTTAAACACGGCAGAAAGGTAGGAAAAATAAGACTTTGTCCTCTCAGCCACTTGAGATTTCTGCTACTCAGTGTATCCTACTATCTATATCACGGAAACTTGGAACACAGCAGGCAACGTACATACATTCTTATGAAGGGTTCAGAAGCCAGCATTTATTCCAAGACTTAAAAGAGAAAGCTGATAATAAACTGCTCATTGACAGCCCAATTTCTGAACTGTGTTAACTGCAAGTTTAAAAAATAAGCTGAAGACAAATAACGTAATACATATTTTTGCCTTTGTCCACTGTGCCTACAAATATAAAGTTCATATTGAATTTAATAAAAATGTTTTGGCCACTTGCATTTCCTATGCAAAGATTAGTGAAAGTTTATTTAAAAATCCTTCCAAATCTAATGAACTATCCAACTCCAAATCTAATGAAGAGCACAAACACTTTTCTTTTCAAGAACATTAAAAGCGTACTTCTTCACAACATTCATATTTACATCACAACTTGTATTTATCAATGTTTTTGTACTCATATCTATATAGATTTTACAATAGCTTCATGCTGATTCCATTCACAAACAAACACTAATAAAAATATTTAAACATTAAAAATGAATAATTACTTCCAATTACATTGCGTTTACCATTAAGAACAAATGAAAATACTTCATAAAATTAACAGTCAAACAGCAGTAGCTAGGGAAATTTCAGATTTGTGACAAGAATGCATACCCAGCAGGATTTATCATAAAACCTGTATTAGACCAGAGACTAGCTTTTTGTCTTTCACTTACATTCTAAGAGGATTCACAATCTCCGTTCGCAATAGCTCTCGAGTCTCACTATAATACTCTACATCATTCTTTTCTTTAGGTCTGAGCAACACTGTGTCTAGAACAGAGCTAAAAGAAAATAGACTGCAAAGAAAAAAAAGGAAAGGAAGGTTATTTTGATTCTGGAAGACAGAGCCATTCAGATGTCTCAGCAGTATAAGACAAACCAACTAAAGCCACAGGAAGAATCAAAGAATTAAACAAGCTTGAGGAGGAGATAATTACAGACAGAGGACAACACAACTGTACGAGATAGCAAAGGTCCACTAACTCAGTATCCTTTCTCCAACAGGAGACGTCCAGGCAAGACTAAGAACAAGCATAAGGTAACTCCCACCAGCGTTCTTTCATCCTTCAACCATTTGCAGGTCAAGGACTCCCTCAGTCAAAAAGCGTATAGATACATAAGGCCAATACAGTTTGGACACTGGGAAGATTGATTAGCACTTCATGTTAAGCAGCATGTATCACACAACTCATTGAAAAAGCATAGTTATGTACCAAAGGTTACAATGCTTGACTTCTTAAGATGCACAGTAGTAATAAAGACAGTCATTACAACTAAAGATTGTGTGTTCTGCATTTCAGGCATACCTCCCACTCACCCACACCTTAGGATGCTACTATATAAATAATGAACTTACCAGAATAAGGTGGAGTCTAAGTAACAGGAGTTGTAATGACCCTGGATACCCTTCTTCTTCCCAATCATTGTCTCTAAACCTTCTTTTTCCATTTTGGGAGGAGTGTTTTCTTCTACCACTTCGCTTAAGTATCCTCCAAAGGCTGAAAATTTTTTTTTTTCAAAAAACACTTTAAAGCCTCAAACTTTATCCTTCTTAAGATTTTCCTATTAGTGTTTTATGGCTAAGTGTTGTCTTAATGTAAGCATTCCTTTTTTGGACTAGAATAGCATTTATTGAAACTGAGACTCACTCTCTTCTAAAAAAGAAAAAACAAAGAACAGGGCCTTAAATTTCACTGACAAGGCACATTAGAGTACTTTTGAAAATCTGCAGCACTGAAATAAGTTTTATCTAGCAGGAATAAAGTTCTCCTCCCATTTTAAATGCTCTGTTTACGGCACCTTACAAGTATACAGAAACTTCTTTCTTTGCTGTTGCAAAGCAGTATAACAAGATCCCCAAACACTAAAACATTTCAAGTTAGAAACAATTCAAGTTTTCCATCACTAACCTCTACCATAAATATATGCTTTTCTATTTAATATTTAGGAAGAAGATCACCTGACATTATAGAAATAACTATATAAAATAACAGTATAAAAAAATAACTGCCTTCATCTCAGAAATTGCACTCATATAAGGCTGGAGTCGCAAACAAGCATTTTTGGCACAATTGCTTTACCCTTCTAAAGTAAAAGATGCAGAGCAAAAGAAACCCTTTAATTTTATGAAGTTTAAAACAAGAAAATTTTCATATGCTTAAAGTACAAATAAGTAATTCAGAAGTGTTATGCTCTATACAGACTGATCTCCTTGTTAATCTCATTTAAGCAATACCTGTACAGATTTCCAAGCGTTCAA